TGCCGACGGCGCATGCGTCCCCGCCACGTTGTTGCGTCTTAATCACGCCAGGTGGCGCTAAACACTGACACACACTAAGCACTCGCGAACTACACACAAAATATAAAGCTAAAAACTGTATCTACACTATTAAATTCGTTTAATAAGTTTGGCAGAGTCTTGGACGGATCGTACATTATTCGATGTATAATTTTACGCGTAGTTTAGGTACTGGATCGTGGAACACATGACGGCTTGAACGATGTCAACTGGTTTCCTTGTCCTGCGCCAGGTTACCTCACTCCCCTTATTCCACTCTTCTTCAGCAGCGACCTGTGAAGATTGAGAGCGTAGGCTTTCACGTCTTTTATGAGATATCTGCAATCGAATAATTCTCTCATGATAAACTGTATCTGATTATTAGGATTGAGTAAATTGATTTGGACATGGCTCTATTATTTCCCTTCATGTTGTATTTTCTTCATAAAAATATGTGAAATGTTAGTCTTGTTTCTTAATAAGAAACCTATTGTTTAAGTTTAACATAAAATGAAAGGTGCGGGTTCGTCAAGAAACAATAAGAATCTACATCATATTTAGGTGGTTTAAAACAGATGCACTACACATAAAATTACTGGTAGAAAATGTTATGAAACAACACAAAAAATAGAACAAATCAACAACAACAGACACAAATGAAATTAAAACTGATAGAAGCGTTAGAGCCGTTTATGAAACAAATTTTTAATAAACTTATGATTTAAGCAATTTGTAAGTGAAATTTAAGCAAGATGATTTGTAACAACATTTACAACTTGGAGATGCAAATAAATAAAAAAAAGACACTTTACCTTTAGGTAAGGAGTTTTGTAATTTTTCGTCCTACCTCAGGCCTCAGAGGCTAAGTTTTAACGAAAAATAAAAAAAATTGAAAAATCTACATCGTACTAAAGATTTGAACTGTAATAAAATTAACCAAGTACCAATAAGACTTCAAATTAATTAGAAGTAACAAAATGAACTGTACAAAGAGAATGTTTAATTTTACAATTACGTTGCAATTTTTGAGATCACAATGGATATTAACTTTTTTTTTAGGAGCTTTCAAAGATTTCTTTCTACCGGTCGTTAATAAATCTCTTGTTGTAAATTTATTAAAGATAGTATGATTTAATTGGTGGTGGCGGACAGGTGAGGACAAGTGTTGCTGCGGCGAGATCACCTGGCGACGTCCCGGTGTATGTCGAACCTGCGGCGACACAGCATAGATGCGGCGCGACGCGTGCCCGACCGCCTGCGCGCACGCCGCTCTGTCGACAAATAGGCTTAATATTAATCATAATAAAACGACACGAAAACCCCTAATAATGCAATAGACTCATTGTGAAAATCTATTCACTCGCTTGCTTTAAAATTTTGAACCTTGCTCAGCAGCGTATTTAAAAAACAATAAGCTAATCTTAGAGGCCATTTTTGAAGTTATACTTCTTTAGCCGCGTTATGAAAAAAATATGAGAGTGAAATTTTAAGATGCGCGCGCATCACTGTAACACTATAGTAACACCATGAAGTTGGCCGCGGGCGCGTTATGAATGTTAGTGTCTAATAATGGTGGATTATTTATTTCTTAATCTATAAGAAGCGACCAAAATTGGCGTAAGGCGTCGTTGCGCCCCAAGCCATGGTTTATTTAGACGTAGGGTAAATAAATAATCCTCTAGCGTATTTAAGTACCCTACAATAGGTCATGTAGCGTGTGTGCTTAATTTTTCTACTTTGTTTTTGTTGTCATTGTAATAAGGATATTCATAAATAATTTTAACTTGAAGTCATATTTATGCACACTAAACACTAGGCTTTCATTGCCAACGGAATTGAAAGTAAAATATTTTTACTAATATTCACCTGTGCTCAGTACATGACTAAGATAATTAAAGTGTGTGTATTTATATGCACCGAATGAGTGCAGTATTGTTTATTTTTTAACTGTCCACTTTCTTGCAACAGCACTAATAGCAGATAAAAATTGGACGCCGCCAACATAATAATCATAACGCGTTGTTACAGTAACAATGTGCGGAAGGCTACGTGCCCATTCTATGTAACATGAAGGCATAGCAAAAAATATCACAATGCACACTGTGTCTTTCACTATAATTGCTGCGCGATGCAAAAAGACTTTTGTTTTCTAAACGCTTCCTAGAGCACTTTCTTCGTTGCGTGTGCACACTTAAAATATTCGTCACTTGTTACGATTGAAGTAAAAACTTTCGATCGAACAACGACAATGGTTCGAGTGTACAATTAATATTGTGTGAACCATGTTTGATACACTTTTTTCTATAAGGTCTTCGATGTTAAGTAGGTATTCTATAAAGTCAAGAATAATTGTGTGATAAGAGGTTTACGTACAACGACTATGATAATATGTGATGTTGACTAGGTTCTAGGCCTCCAACGTACGCGTAATCGGCTACGCGTGCCCTGTAACGTGCTATCCGTAGTGTACCATAAATGTTCGTCGCATAAAGTATCTTTACCTATTCTGTTTCTAGGTTTTAGTAGAATTTACAAGTTGCTCGACTTTATAGGATAAAAAATGATGTATGAATGTGAGATAAAATAATTTTGAGTTAATTATCTTATTCATTGGGTAATTCGTAAATAAATAATTTGGTTACAGTCGCATTTCATAATGTTAGCTTAGATAATGCGTAGATAATAAATAAATAGTATAGTGTCGCCATCTAGCGTTGGGTAGAAATAGCATTTAGAGGAAAGTAAATTTCCGTTTTTCACTGTCTGACATGGCGAATGTGTAGATGACATCTAAGGTAGAGGCTGAGCATAACTTGTAATCACTCATTAAAATTAAATCTTAACCAATTTCATCTAAATAGGGATCTTCTATCAATGAAAACTTAAATAAAATTTTATCATTAACATCTAGTTTATATGTCACTTCAATAACATTTTCCTCGTTAAATTGCCTATTGAAAGACTGATAGGACCGGACCTCAACCTTGACTGTACACTTCCTACTGCATAGTGCGCGGGACCTTGTAGTATTATGATTGCGCAGCGCAGACGCGCAGAGTCGACTTTATGCACTAATACTTATTACACACAAACTAATAATAGTGATTCTATATGACGAATCTTTGTGATTTTATGTTAATTAACTATGATAATGCATTTTTATTGACAAGTATAGTGTGTTTTACTTTGCTATCTACTCGCAAGGCCATTACCCAGGAAAATAAATAAGAAACCGGCCAAGTGCGAGTCTGGTCTCGCTCTGTTAGGGTTCCGTAGAATCATTTCTTTGTTTGTTTCCGTTCACAAAGTGCATTATGAATCGGATTTTTAATTCTTGTTGTTTAAATATTGCTATTATTGCCACATCATATAGGAACCAAAATTTCACATATTTTTTGATTTTGAGATTGACACGTAACAAAAATGGTCTATTAAGGAAAACTAATTTATTTGTTATTGAAAAAAAAATATATATCCTACTCAACAAGCTGTAGACAATAATGAGTCATATCATGCTGGGGTAAAAAAAAAACTTTTAACTAATATATTTGGATTTGGGCAAGCATTCTATATTAAATACCAAAATATAAGGGGAACTCATTCCGTTTACGATCCAGAGCGCCTGACATGATATACGCATAGACAGACAGATGACAAAGTTATAGCAATAGTGTTCCGTTTTTAACCTATGGATACGGAACTCCAATAAGAACCCTATCAAAATTTCAATTTGAATAATTGATAGCTAATAAAATTGGTCATAGCAATTTATTGAACGTATAAAAATATGAAATACAAATATATATTAATTAAAAAAAAAAATAACACGCATGCGGAAGCGATTTCCAGATAATGCATTAGCTTTTAAATAGGAATGCAGAGATATAAATACCTACCTATATCAGTATCAATGCAGACAAGAAACCTAATTTTCTTAACAGCAACAATTAACTAATTACTTAGATTATAGGAAGAACCTTCAGACTATCACGAGAGCGGTGGCTATGCAATGTCAATAAATTGCAATATTTAGCTCATTGTTTATTTTGTATGTCAGTTTAAACGTTACCTACCTTTTCAAATTATCAAGATATTGGTGTCGATTCTGGCGTGATTCTCTAAACTTAAAACTAAATTTAACATCATTCTATCCTTTTCATTCTGTATAGAGAATGACAGAGATACACTGCTGTCAAATTTAAGTTTAAGTTAGAGAATCATGCCAGAATTGACACCATTATTATAATAAATCAAATCGACTTCATAAACAAAACAACCCTCCTATTTTTCCCTTGGGTACGGAACTCTAAAAAAGATTCCGACTAATTGATAACCTCCTCATTTCTTGAAGTCGGTTAAAAAAACTGTTTGTTCCAATTTAAATCTAAATACCACAGAACTTAAAAAAAGTGTTGGAAAAAATTCGTATAACGTAACGATTAGTTCTGCATATAGACATAAATGGGAGTTTTTGGCTGGAATTCATCGAGTGCGGTTTCATAGTGGGTATTGTGAAATAAAATTGGTGTGATTTTGTATTACAACCGTCTGCGCAACTAAAGAATTGGTGGAATCTTTAAAATATACGCTATTCCAATCAAGTGGACGTGAGAACTTTGTTGTAGTGTTGACTACCTCACAGAAGCTTAACGAAAAAGCCAACTCGATACATTATGCCAAACACTCCAAGAAACATTAGAATGAGCCACTCCGACATTCTAATGTAAAAAAAAGAAGATTAATATAGCTAAAGACTAGGCTGTATGGGTATTGTTCCCTTTGCCTTCCCTAAAAAACGGAGAATCTTTAAAAAAATAAATGATACTATGTCTATGCTTCTACGTTTGGTTTTACGATATGCAATTTGTTAAGTTCATCAAATCAACCGATAATTTTACTAACTCATCTACTTAGAAAAACATAATTATAAATTTACAATATTATTTATATGTATTATTGATATAATAATTATGATGATTTTAGCTTAAAATCTTATTATACAAGGTCCGTGTGGAACGGAACACAGTTCTGATATCTTGACGTTTATTTGACATTGACATGCCATAGCGAATTTGTTTTGTGTTTTCGTAGATCGTGATGTCTGCCGATGAAAATAAATCTGATTCTTCAGGTTCTGAGTCCGAAGTCAGTGCATGTAGTTCAAATTTCAACCCTTTCAAAGCTCTATATTCAAAAAAAGCCGAAATACCCGTGAAGAATGCGCCACTGTATGAAAACATTAGCCAATATGAATCGGCACAAAAACATGAAAATACTATTATACCTGTTGGTCATAAGGAAGAAGTCGATAAACGTGAACTGGACAAGAAAACTAAGAAAGAAGAGCAAGAAAGGTTATTAGAAGAGAAAAACAAGCAACGTTTTGCACGTTTCCAGCGTAAGTTTTTAGGTTATGTTGTTGTTGTTATTTTGAACATTTCATTTAGTGAGTCCTATAGTCAATCTAATCTTAGCACTTCAATAACATTCTTTAATTAATACTAAAACAACATTCAGGAATAACAGTCAGTTTTTATACATATTATTTAATTTAGTTATTTACGTACAACATACATTTTTAACCCACAACACTTAACAGAGCCAACAAAGCTTTTAAAAGTGATAAAACAAAGCAAAGTCAATTACAAGTGGCAATGGAATGCACATCAAACTTTCAAATAAGTAGGAATGAAATTATAAAGAAGTTTATTATAAAAAGTTTATTTTGAAAAATCCAAGGTTGCTGCGAAAAATTTAATTATCACAGTAACAGATAAACTAAATACATACTGACAATATTAGAGAGGAGACAAAAGCACAGAGTTTTTATCTATATAGTAAACTTGACCAAATAAAACTATGCAGACCAGGCTGCAGATGGGTCTAGTCTGCGTGTAGATTTTTCCAGTAAAATTTTTGTATAGATTAAAAACATCCAGCAGTTAAATATTAATAAAAAAATATATATAATTTTATTTATCTCTAAAAAAATACTTCATTCATTTATTCTTTTCACAAGTTTATCGCAACAACACAATCTTTAACATCCTACTCCGAACTTTGCTTTTTGATTATTGCATTTTTGACTAACCTCATATTAAGATTAACCGGCTCTAGTTTTTAAGATTACAGTTCTTTATTATGAACATAATATTGTATTATTATTAAATTAGTAAGAAGGACATTTGGAGTTTTCAATTAAGAAAATAGTTTAAGAATGATTGACTTGTCCCCTAACATCTCTATTTCTATTTGAGTTCTAGTATTTATTACTTCTTTTCAAAGAATTTTAACACATATAAGTTGGATCTTAAGTGGCTATAGTCTGTGAAGATTACAATAGCAAAGGTACTCTCAGGCAGTCTATAGTAATTATAATGCCAAATATAGATTTATAATAAGCAAGAATGAGATATGTTAATAAAATTATAATAAACGATACCATAGTGCCGAGTTTTATCTAGGTTTTCTTCTTTATATAGGTATATATGATCAAAAAAACTCCAGCATTGATTTATCCAAAACCGTACTAAACTAATTTTTAAGGAAATTTTTTACTTTTTAAAATTCTATTCTAATTTTACTATATAAATTCTAATATTGTAGTGGAATTGTCCTGTTGTTGAACCTGTCAGGTTGCCAAGAGAGTTTAGGTTGGAATCTAGTATGATAGATATTTAAGTATGTGAAAACGGCTACAAGCAATGTTATTATGACCGTCTTCATTGTAAGCCACCATAGCCAATAGATCAGTGTCACTTGCACTGCCCTAAAAATCTAACTAACCGACTAGAACACAATACTACCAAAAGGTCTGATGTAGTAGTAAGGACTGTGTTTTCTGTAAAGTGAAGGTGGAACTACTTTGCCAGGAGTGCTCTCCAATTTGATCAAGAAATTTCTCAGGATTTTGCTCTTTAATTTTTATATAAGGAATTCGGAGGATTATTGCTGCCGCTCTCTGTTACATTACGTCAGTTAGAAAACTGCTGTGACTATTTGCAATTAATATTCATTTTATTTTGTGTTTATAAGATAGTTGAATTGAATTGTTGAATGCTAATTAAATATTTTTTAACTCTTGATGCACTCTCAAGAAATTTAAATAGCTATGTTTTATTTGCCAAAACTGTTTCTGTCTGAAACCTGGACTAAGTCAATATTTAAATATAATATAGCAGTTAAATGTTTCAAATAATAATATAGTAAAAAAACTTCATGCTTAAGGAAATTGTGTAAGGAAGCTTAACCCATAGCTTTATGGTTAGTTAGTTCTTCAGGGTGGTTTCCGCACTTAGTCCTAATTATTGGACCATTGTGCGTGTCTCAAAAACATTCCCGTTTACTCCAGCCAGCCTATATCGGTCCAGAAGGAAAGCAACCTTGGTAGACTGCTGCAAGCTTTATGGTGTTCTTGAAACCGCACAGTGCCATTTGCTTGCATTAGCTGATTAATCTTCAATGGGCTTCAGCATTAAAGTAATGCATTGGCCAACTACTGTAGACAGAGAGAACCTTTCAATGGACAGGTATTTTCAGGAACTTTAGCATATCTAATTGACTGATTTGTCACTATTGTTCCCAGACCTCGTAGCATGAGCATCACAATTTATATTATGTATATCACGTTTTTTATCGCATCTAACTGTCAAACTCCATAGTAATTTGACAGTAGCCACTTGACATTGGCGGAGCTGTGTTAAGTCACAACGTAAGCCATCATAAAAGAAGAAGAAGAATAGTGCGCGATAAAATAATAAATTTTATATAATAATAATAATATCGCGTTGCTCATGCTGGGGTTAGGCGCTAGATAATAATTTAGACCTGGACAATGCTAAATGTGACTTCAATAAAATTTGGCTATGAAAGAATTTCTCATAGTAATATTAAAATTTAATGGATTATTGTGAAAAGTCAATGAAGATGGATATATCTAGTGTACCAGGCGAGAGTGTAAATGAAAAAAGGCAGTATGAAAGCTGGTGTGTTGTCTCCCAACTTCGCATACTGACAGTATAGTTAGGTCACGCACTCGAGGTCAGTCTAGGCCGCCCGTTCAACGCACGCGGTTGTGTGTCAGCGTCGGCCGACGACCCTAAACCCCCCTCCCTCTCCGGCCGCTACCCACCCCGCCGTCAGGATAATCTACGCGGCCACCCAAGCTGCGGCCACTTGTACGGACTCACCAATTCAGCGGATTATTTATATAGCTTTAATACTGCGTATGGGTCGGCAGGCCGCACGCCGGTATTAGTAGTTTTCGACAAAACGCTAATGTCAATCGAAAGTTCAGGGAGTGCTTACGGTACGGTTACTTCACACTCTTAATGTGTTGTTTATCGATTATCCGAAAAAATAACAGCCTTATATTCTAATGTAACAGCTATTTTGTAGGGCCCTTGAATTGTTTTTTCTTATTTTTAAAAACCAGGAATCATCATCATCATCATCAGCCTATTAATGTCCCCACTGCTGGGGCACAGGCCTTCCCTATGGATGGAATAGGGAGATTGGGCCATGACCCACCACGCGGGCTCAGTGCCGATTGGCGGGTAAAAAACCAAACCAAAACCAGGAATATTCTTCATTAAAAGCTGCTGGCTTTAGCTTTTGAATATGTATGTATATTTTATTTGTAGGCGCTTTACAATTCACCTTACACCTCGCGGATCGCATAGTACGTGGTAAATTAATTACCCAATATTGAGAATTCTGCGTCCAAAGTATAATAATAACTGTACACAAAGAACATTAACAATTATATTATACAAAAACACTGCAAATTTGTTAGCGTTTTCAGTATGTATTAGTTCTTTAAATACAGCATATATCAAAATGTCACATTCTTACTAGTTTTGATTTTTACACTTCCTAACAAAAATGCTCTAAAAATGTAAAATTTGACGGATTTGATATTAAATAACGATTATGCCTATCTTTAGAGTAAAAAAATTCTCTCAAACAGTGCTTTTTAGAGCTATAGGAGGGAACTCTCCGTAGCTCTGCCTCCCACAGTATGAGCACCGCGATATGATATATAACTCGTTTTTATCGCGTTCAATTGTCAAATTACTATGGAAGTTGACAGACACGATATAATGTAAATTATGGTGCCCATGCCCATGCTACGGGGACTGGTTTTTCCTGTATAATATAATAAATATTCGATATCCATTTTCGCATTGTTCTTCAAGCTTTTAACCGGTAGGTAATCACACTATAATATTATAAAGGCGAAAGTTTCTGTGTGTGAGTGTATGTTTGTTACATCTTCACGTCTAAACGGCTGGAGCGATTTTAATAAAATTTGCTATGGAGTTAGCTGACACCCTGGATTAACACATAGGCTACGATTTAGTGCGGGAAAATATCCCTAATCAACCGCGAGTAACACTAAGGGGCACAGCTAGCTAATACCACTATGAAAGTCAAGTCACTATTTAAGACTTATAGTCTTGTCCGTAAAAATAGATCGCTTGCTTACAACTAAAATAAGTCCCCCTAACACCCATGGACACTGAGAGACCGGGCAGGACGTCGACGTCGTAAAAGTACGTGGAAGTCCCTGAAAAAATTAGGACTGATGTAACAAGGCGCATCAACGCACACAGCGAACTTTTATCCGCGTTGTTCACTCGAAACGATTTAAAGTGATGGACCCAGTTTTCGGTTTTAAAAAGGCCCTGTTTCTTCGACTTCATATTTTCTTAAACTTCATATTAATTACAACACAACGTGTAATTCAAGGTGTCGCTTGCTCGGGTACGAATCCCGGTGGGGGCAGATGTTAGTGTGATGAAAACGAGCATTTGTGCTTCAGTCATGGATGTTTAATATGTGTTCCCATATAAATATCTATAAATATGTATCAGTATATGTATTCTGTACGTTGCTCTAGTGTCCCATAACGCAGGCATTATAAGAATGCTTACTTCGGGGCTAGGCTAATTGGTGTAAATGTTGGAAATATTCATTTGCATTGCGGTTAAAAAGTTATTATAGTATGTTAAAATATAGTAGCTACCAAATGGAAATTAGGAAGAGAAAAATAAATGGTTGATTTCATTCTCTTTGTTTTTCTTATTATTTTTGTTTCTCTGTCATAGAAATTATGATATACAGTTAACATGCATTTAATTATAGTATGATGATTATAAATATGATAATGTTTCTACGAGAACTTTTTTGACAAACTGCGATGCAGTTTGGCAGATATAATGTAATTTTTATGTAAATATTTGCTGAATAAATAAATAAATAAAAGAGATATTATTTATCGTGAGCGTTGAGTCCGTGTCAAGTCTCCGGCGGACATTTTCTTCACGAATCAGAGAGCTCCGCGGACACAATTTGCCTTTCCTGTCCGGCGACACGGCGGTGGAGATTAAAGTTTGT